AATATAAATTTGTCATGGTATTCTTTGATTTAGGGTTTGGTAACTGTGTTATAGTTTTGTATGTGTTTTTAGGGTTAGATTGTGAAATCTTAACGTTTTTTTAAAAAAGTAGATTTTAGCTATATGTGTTTAGTTTTGTGTAGATTAAACATTTTATAAGTTCAATTAAGTTTAATAAAGTCTTTGTATGTGATTTAGTTATATATATTTGATTTTGGGGGTTTCAGAAGACTTATAAAGACTTAATAACAGTTTTCCGCTCAAAATTTAGGTTTCCCGCTTAAAACTCTAAAAAAAATTATTTTTCCCGCTTAAAATTAAGTCTTCTAATGTCTTATAGGAAAGTCTTCTAAAGTCTTTCAAGGAAAGTTTTCTAGAGTAGTAGTTCTTAAAATAATTTATAAATTTCATAAAACATATTTTGATAGGAAAAAATCATAATCATTTAATTATAGACATTTGTAAGTGATATAAATTTAGACTTAATAAAATTGAATTGTTTTCAAAATAGATGAGTGAATATAAGTTAGTCACAATATTCTGGAAGACTTAAGAGAACTTTGAAAGACCTAGTGGAAGAGCTTCGATGACCTCGGAAGACATACTTCTAGTAAGTCTTCCAAAGTCTTCCATAGTTTACTATTTCCCGCTCAAATAGTAAGTATTCTGGGCGAATAGTAAGTTTTCAAAGTAAGTCTTCTGGGTGAATTGTCTTCTAAGGTCTTCTAAAGTCTTCTGTATCGAAAATATTTAATCTAATTGAAATTTTTGTCTTCTTATATAAATAAAAATTTACACATTCTCTCTCTTCCTCTCAAATGGAGGCAACAAAAATGTAATATTTCTCACTCTGAAATTCTCTAACCTCTCTCTAAACTATTTGAATTTGATAACACCAAACATTATATTAATTTCTCATTTGAATGTGTTTCTCACTATTTTATCTTGTTTTTGAAGGTTTTTCGTTACATAGATGTCATCTTTCACTCATTTAAAGGTAAATCTATAATTTTTTGATATGTATTTTTGTGTCTTTTATATATTAGATTCTAATAAGTTATAGATTCAATATAATGTGATTGTTTTAGTTATTATTTAAGCTTAAAGCTTGTTTTTTCTCTGTTTTGATGTCATTTGAACGTTTGTGGATATGCATGTTTTTTTCAGATCTGAGACAGATATTGGAAGACTTACATAAGAATTTCCTGGAAGTCTTCTTACGTTTTCTTAAGTTTTCTAGCGTCGTCTTAAGTCTTCTGGCATAGTTTTCTTCCATGTCTCCTCTTTCACAACATATCTGAGCATTTTGGTGAGTTATCATGTCTGATTTTCTTCATTTAGTATTCTGTTTTTGCATAAAGTTCTTATCTTTTTTCCAAACTTAAATTCTCCAACCTCTTTTTAATCTCTTTAAACATGAAAATACCAGAAATTATATCAATTTCTCATTTTATGTGTTTCTCACTATTTTATCTTATTTTTTAAGGTTTTTCATTCATAGTTGTCAACTTTCACTCATTTAAGGGTAGATCTACAAATTTTTTATATGTATTTTTGTGTTTTTTATATGTTAGATTCTAATAAGTTATAGATTCAACATAATGTGATTGTTTTAGATATTATTTAAGCTTAAAAGCATTGTTTTTTGAAATTTTTTCTCTGTTTTGATGTCATTTGAACGTTTTTGGATATGCAAGTTTTTTTTCAGATCTGAGACAGATATCGGAAGACTTACAAAAGACTTTCCTGGAAGTCTTCTTGAAAAACTTCTAACAAATCTTCTCTCATATCAAGTGGAGTCCAAGATTGTGTTTGTGGAGGAATGATCTATAAATTTTTATTTGTGGTCTCTTTTGTGATTTGTATGTGTACTTTTTAGTTGTTATTTTTGTTTTGTAAATTTCAAAATTTTTAATAAAATATGGTAAATATGTTTATTCTCAAAAATTACTTCACATTATTAAAGTAAACAAGTTGTAAGATATGTGCTAACAATGTGTTTTCCACTTTTACAAATCAAGGAAATAAAAAACTTTACTGGCCTTCAGATTCAAAACATGATGTTCATTGTGTCGTTCTTTTCATCTTTGGATCTCCCATAATCTGCGAAAAAATAAATTTGTAACTATAAACAACCTTTTCTCATTAGCTTACAATAGTTGTTCATCACTTTAAACTTCTAAGAAGTAAAACCAACAAAGTCTTGTAAGAAGTAAAACCAACAAATTTTATAATTATAAACAAGTAAGATATAATGAGTTGATTAACTCTTCCAACTTCATTTTCATGTACACATTATAAACTTCTTGAAATTAATTAACACTTTTGAAAGTTAAAAAACCTATTTTAAATTACTGAACATTCTTAAAAATACAAGTTTACAAAAACTAATGTGGAAGAGTTCCACATAAGTCTTTTGAGAGAAGATTTTCAAGGAGTCTTCTATCATTAGCTAGAGAGATTAAAAAAACTTGAATGTTGGTAATCTCATAATTATCACCAATTAAGTGGTGAATTTCATTAAAGACCCCAAATATTATGTAAAACCGATGAATTAACAATAAAAGCTTAATAATTCATTTTAAATTTGAAGAAAATGAAAGTTTATTATACAATGTCGTAGAAGACTTACCTGGAAGTCTTCCCGGAGAAGAATTTTAGGTAAGTCTTCTCTTTAGGTCATTTTTGCAATTGAAAATTTGCAAAGGAAGACTTTCAGAAGGAGACTTCTCTGTCTTCGTATGTAAATATTGACTTACTTTTCTAATACAAAATTCTCGAAAATACATGAGAAGACTTATCTGTAAGTCTTCTCGGATAAACATGTTAGTTTTGTAATTGACCAATTTGCGTCAAAAATTTGATTTTCTACGAAAGACTTCAGAAGAATTACCTGGAAGTCTTCTCAACCTCTAAATTAAGTCTACTCGATACACCGGAAGACTTCAGAAGACTTACCTGGAAGTCTTCCGCCAGAAGATTTACAAGTAAGTCTTCTATGATTACCTTAGGTTTGACCAAAATCACGGAATAAAAATCTGGAATACTTTCAGGTAAGTCTTTCGACCTAAGACTTATATGGAAGACTTCTAGGTAAGTCTTCTGGTGGAAGACTTACCTGAAAGTCTCATAATTTAAACTAAATGTTTTAAGTTTAAATTTTTAATTGCAAAAGTAACCTACGCAGATTTCTAGCGATATCGAGTAGACTTAATTTAAAGGTTGAGAAGACTTCCAAGTAAGTCTTCCAGTGGAAAACTTACCTAGAAGTCTTTTAGAGAAAGCCAAATTTCTGACACAGATTGGTCAATTGCAAACTAACCAGTTTATCTGAGAAGACTGTCTTCTCAATTTTTTTTTTGCCAACGAAGAAAATTTGTAAATTTCCACACCAGTCTTCTCTAAAAAACACACAGAAAGTCAATTGCAAAACAAACTTATTCTTTGACCAGAAGACTTACGAAGACTTAAAAGGACTTACGAAGACTTAAAAGGACTTACGAAGACTTACTCGTAAGTCGTCTAGAGAACAAATATGTGAAAAAAAAATTTAATTCATACCTTCAACCCCTGAGAAAACTTGCTTAGTTCTCCAGGCACACACAACTTCACCAGAACATCTACTAAATCATTAATGACCAGAAATAATGAATTTGGATGGCTATATGACCCTCAAAAACTTTAGAATCAAGAAGTTTTGAGTTTTTGGATGAATATAGCTGGAAAGTGAGGGAGAAGTAGTTTTTGGGCATAAGTTATGAGAATAAATGAGTAAATTTTGTTTTTAGATGCATTAAGAGCTTCATTTTGGTTGTTCATGGTTGTTGGGTGGATTGATGGTAGTGGCATTTTCGTGATTAATTGATGAAGATGGGGATGAAAGAGTAAAACACTCATTTAAAAAAAAAAATTAAATAAAATAATGACATTTTCGCAAATCACAACTTTTAGAGTGGATTGAGCAAATAAAATGTCAAAAATGTTAGTTTTGTGTTTGACTTGGTGTTTAGAGTCATTTTTGCAAGAAGCCCGATTATTTATGATAAATAAAATTTTCTTATAAAAGTTTATATTTTTGGTAATGATTTTTAAATATGGTAATAACTAATAACTCATATATTATCATTAATCAAAATTTTCCATGTAACTATTTTTTTTTAATAAATATACTATTACATTATATTTATAATTCATATATCACAAGCTAAATAATATTACAAATATAATTTTTACATCAAATATACAACATTTTGTTATAAATATTTGTAAATGTGCATCAACGAATACGAACTAAAGTAACACTAATTAATAATTACTAAATATGATATAATATAGATGATAAGATATATATTTAAATTAAATAATCATTAAATATAATATAATAAAAATATTTTTATAAATTGTATTTTTAACTTTATTAAAATTTAAATAAATTAAAATTTAAATAACTAAGCCAAATTAAAAAAGACTACAAGAATAGAAAAAATATTTAAGACAAATCAAATCAATTTTTTTGGATATGTTTACCTAAAAATTAAAGCTAAAATATAAAATAATAATGTTTAAATATAAATAAAAATTTTCTTTTGTATTAAAAATATTATATTTAAAATTAATGCGCAGGAAAACTCATAGTTTCAGATTATTTTATTAGATACATTTCTATTTTATTTTAAAGTTAGCAAAATATTCAGTTAATAGAAGAGGAAGAGAAAGAAAGAGAGGCGGAGAAGAAGGAGAAGCGTTCGTAAAGAGGGAGAGAGCAAGACAAACAAAAGATATATGTTTTGTTTTAATAGGGAAACTCTCTTTCTCTCTATCCTTTTATTTCGCTTTCTTACGTGAGAAATTTAAGAGGCAAACGACCAAAGTAAAACAGAAAATCTATCTTCAGACCACACGAACGTCTCTCTCTCTTTCTCTTCTTCCCTCAAGTTTTCCTGAATCTTGATTAATCGTGAAGGTGAGAAAGAGAGAAGGAGAGACACAACAAGATGTGGATGGCAAAGAGCAATAGCGTGGGAATCAAGGAAGGTGGAGGATCCACTGGAGTTGTGGCTGTTGCTATAGACAAAGACAAAAGTAGCCAACACGCTCTTAAATGGGCCGTTGATCATTTGTTGCAGCGAGGCCAATCTGTTATTCTTGTCCATGTCAAGCTTCGACCTTCTCCTTTAAACAATGGCTCTTCTCTATATACTTCCTCCGCAAGTAAACAAATAAAGCATTTTCCTTCTTCTTCTTCTTCTTCTTCTTCTTCTTCCATTGCTCTGTTTTGATGGTTTGTGTTTTTGTTTCAGAGCTGAGCCAAGATTCTTCATTGGTATGCAGAGATCCAGAAGGTGCATCCAAGGAGATATTTCTTCCTTTCCGTTGCTTCTGCACGCGCAAAGATGTGAGTTTCTTAGTTTAGACTCTTCTCTCTTTGACCTTATTCTTGTAAGCTAATGAGAATTGTCTTAGATACAATGCCAAGATGTGTTGCTTGAGGAGTATGATGTAGCTAAAGCATTAGTAGAATATGCAAACCAAGCTGCCGTTGAGGTTCTGGTGGTTGGTTCCTCCAACAAAGGTGGATTTCTCAGGTAGAAAAATATTCCGCTTCTTCGCATTCTTCTTCTTGAATCTCCATTAATGATAGGGTTACTTGATATGCAGGTTCAACAAGCCTGCAGATGTTCCAGGGACCATAACGAAAACCGCGCCTGATTTCTGCACAGTTTATGTCATATCCAAAGGAAAGATTTCAACAATGAGATCAGCTTCTCGTTCTGCACCAAACATTGCTCCTCTCCGCACTCCTATTCAACCACCTAGCTTAAGGCCACCTCAACCTGTACCTTCTACTGCCTCCAACATGCGAGGTTTTTAGATTTAACTTTCGTTTTTTTTTTTAAACTTCACTTGTTGGTTTCAACATAAAAGTTGTTGTGTTTTATCTTCCTTTCTGCAGCTGATAGAAGGTCTTTTGAGACTCAACAACGCAGATCTACCGAAGATCGCAGGTCTGTCGAAGACCGCAGGTCTATGGAAGATCAGCAGCGCAGGTCCATGGAGGATCTGCAACGCAGGTCTGTGGAGGATCAATCAGATTCCTTCAGGTACATACATTTCACTTGTGATTTTCCATCTATACATTGATCTTGACAACTCTAACTCCATGCATTAAAAAAAACAGATCTCCTTTTACTAGAAGAGGCAATGGGAGATCATACGGTGAACTATCTGTTCCGGAATCAGACATATCATTTGTCAGTTCCGGTAGAGCCAGCATTGACCGTATCTTCCCCAATCTGTATGACAATAATGATCCAAACCGAACTCCTCCTAGGCTGTCTAACTTCTCTGACATGGACTATGGTCCTAACTTAGAGTCCTCCAACTATGGAAGGAGATCACTTGATGTAAGTTCACCTACTGATCTTTCAACTGGCGACTTTGAGAGTGAAAGATTTTCCTCCGCTTCAGGATTGGTAAGACCTTTAGAACCTACCTTACAAATCTTCTGTTTGATATATACTCTCTCCGTTACATTTTAATTGATATATTTTTTAATTCTCTGGTCTATTTTTCCATGGACTGAAAAGTCGTTAGATGTATACTTAATAATGTTTTTGTTTAGAAAATATAATGCTTTTGTTTAGAAAATATAATATATTTTTTAATCTGTATGCACAAATCTATAAGGACAATTAAAATAAAACAGAGGAAGTATATAGCTAGTTATTGAAATTTTGGCAATCATCAAAAGCAGGATGATGTAGAGTCTGAGATGAGGAGGCTGAAACTGGAGCTGAAGCAGACAATGGAAATGTACAGTACAGCTTGCAAAGAAGCACTTACAGCAAAACAAAAGGTAATGTTTCTAACAAGACAAGTGTTTTTTTTTTTTTTTTGAAACACAAACAAGACAAGTGTTTATAGCTACGGTTTTGTTCCTAAACGTGTTTGGAAACTGCAGGCGACTGAGCTTCAGCGTTGGAAGTTAGAAGAAGAGAGGAAACTAGAAGAGGCAAGACTTGCAGAGGAAGCAGCATTGGCCATTGCAGAGAAAGAGAAAGCAAAGTCAAAAGCAGCCATGGAGGCAGCTGAAGCAGCTCAAAGGATTGCTGAACTAGAATCTAAGAAGAGAGTCAGCGCAGAGATGAAAGCTCTCAAGGAGTCTGACGAGAAAACAAAGGCCCTTAGCGCTTTAGCAAACTCAGATGTAAGGTACAGGAAGTACTCCATTGAAGAGATTGAGCATGCAACAGAGTTCTTCGCTGACAAGTACAAAATTGGAGAAGGTGGTTATGGTCCTGTGTACAAATGCTATCTTGATCACACACCAGTGGCTGTTAAAATCCTTCGCGCCGATGCAGCTCAAGGAAGGTCTCAGTTTAACCAAGAGGTTGAAGTGTTGAGCTGCATCAGACACCCTAACATGGTTCTACTTCTTGGAGCTTGCCCTGAGTGTGGATGTTTAGTGTACGAGTTCATGGCCAACGGGAGCTTAGAAGACCGTCTCTTCAGATTAGGAAACAGCCCGCCTCTCTCGTGGCAGATGAGATTCAGGATCGCTGCGGAGATAGGGACAGGACTCTTGTTCTTGCACCAGGCTAAACCGGAGCCTTTGGTTCACCGTGATCTCAAACCGGGGAACATCTTGCTAGACCGTAACTTCGTCAGCAAGATATCTGACGTTGGTTTAGCGAGACTAGTCCCACCTTCGGTTGCAGACACGGTGACACAGTACCGTATGACTTCTACCGCTGGCACGTTCTGTTACATCGACCCGGAGTATCAGCAGACAGGGATGTTGGGTGTGAAATCTGATATATACTCGCTCGGCATTATCTTCCTGCAGTTGATCACAGCAAAACCACCAATGGGTTTGACTCATTATGTCGAGAGGGCACTGGAGAAAGGGACTTTGTCGGATTTACTCGACCCGGCGGTTCCAGACTGGCCAGTTGAAGAAACTGCAGAATTTGCTAAGTTGGCGCTGCAATGCGCAGAGCTAAGGAGAAAAGACAGACCTGATCTTGCTAAAGGGATATTGCCAGTGCTGAACAGATTAAGAACACTTGCTGATGAGTCAACAGAGTCTCTACTTGTCATCAACAGCCCCGGACCATCGCCTAACAATAGCCAAACTTCCGTGAAGCTGGTGAGAACTCATAATAACTGTACTTGGATTCTCTAAGTGTTACTCCATAAGCTTACGTCTTTTCTTTGATTAAACATTTGCAGGAACAGATGAGTGGTGCTTCTATCTCTGTGCCTCAATAATATCTACACACAAGAAATGGCAATTTTGCAGGATTCAGATATATAACTTGGAGGATCACATACAGTTTTAACTTAAAATAGACAAGAAAACTCAAATAAAGAGCCTGCATGCTCAGGAGATGCAGTAGAGTTCTATATTTCCATTGTAGAGAAAGTGTTTCAAAATTGTACAGATAAATTCTTATAATCTAACAAAACATATATTAATGATTAATACACTCCTTAAAACGAAATATTGTGACAAAGTTAGACTTGATGCTCCAGCAATTTCAATGGTCTTGAATATTCAAGAATACTGTAAAAGATCAGATTCCAAAAATTAATTTTGTAGAAATTCAATCCAGAACTAGAAAAGCCGCAAAAATCTGTGGGTAAAGTTCAGCCAAACTCCAAGTGGGTCTTATATCACTCAAATTATCTTAAATAGTGATTTTACTCTCACAAATAAAAGATTCAACTGTAATATTTAGGGATCAAATTCACATGGAACTAGGGAAACAATTAAATCTAATAATTATATGTTTAAACTAGGCTAATAAATAATAAAGTGTTGTAAATCAAAGAGTAGAAAAGAAATGATTGTGTTATTATTGCACAAACATAAGATGCATTATATAGGGAGTTACAAGATCCTAGAAAAGGAAAAGCCTAAACCAATTAGGAAAATAAAATAGTACAAAATCTGATCCCATAAGGAAAAAGGAAAACTAGCCGCCTAAGAGAAAAAGGAAAAAGCCCAGCCGCCTAAGGCACTTGATGGACTGGCTGGTTAGACGGCCCAAGGGTCGGTTAGAGCAATCCACAATATATTTCATAACACTCCCCTTGGATGCCATAACCGTTGTAATACGCTTTGGATGTTGTCTCATTAAAACATTTCCAGGAAAAACCCAAAACCCAAAAGGATAAAACCGGGTAAAACCATGGATAAGGAAAAAGAGTACAACACGTATTACTCCCCCTGTTTTGTACCTCACTGAACGTCTTTAAGCCGACACATTCCAATCTGATGAGTGAGCTTCTTGAACGTTTAGGTTGGAAGTGACTTGGTGAATAGGTATGCTGAATTGTCACTTGAACGGACTTGTAGCAGTTGGACTTCGCCGGCTTTCTGTAAATCATGGGTGAAGAAGAACTTTGGCAAAATGTGCTTCGTCCTATCTCCTTTGATGTAGCCGTCCTTAAGCTGAGCAATACAAGCTGCATTGTCCTCGTACATGATGGTCAGTGCTTCCATGCCTTCGGTCATCCCATAGTCTCTTCTAATATGTTGGGTCATGAACCGCAACCACATTAACTCACGGCTGGCCTCATGGATGGCCAATATCTCGACATGATTGGATGATGTGGCCACCATAATTTGTTTCATGGACCGCAAAGCTATAGCAGTCCCACCGTGGGTAAAAATATAGCCTGTCTGAGATCGAGCATTGTGTGGATCTAAATTAAAACCTGCATCAGCAAAACCAATTAACCGTTCTTTGGTTTGGTTAGTATAAAATAGACCCAAGTCTTTTGTTCCTTGTAGCTAACGAAGAAGATGTTTAATCCCGTTCCAGTGCCTTTGGGACGTTCATGAACTAAACTGAGACAATAGGTTCACAACAAAACATATGTCCGGCCTAATATGGCTCGCCAAGTACATTAAGACTCCGCTGGCACTGAGGTATGACACTTCGGGCCAGAGGACTTCCTCATCGTCCTTCTTGGGACTAAATGGGTCCCTGTCTAGACCAAGTGATCTCATGACCATGGGGCTCGACAATGGGTGAGATTGGTCCATATTAAATCGTTTGAGCACTTTCTCTGTATATGTCTTTTGATGCACAAGGATTCCACCCTTAAGGTGTTCAATCTGTAATCCCAAACAAAATTTTGTTTTGCCTAAATCTTTCATCTTAAACTCTTTCTTAAAGTATTCAACTGTTTGGAAAATTTCTCCAGAGGTTCCTAGGATATTCAGGTCATCAACATACAATGATATTATTACAAAGCCTTTGTCGTATTTTTTTTTGTAAATATGCATGGGCTTATTGGATCATTCTTATAGTCCTCTTTCACTAGGTGCTCACTTAGTCTATTATACCACATTCGACCTGGTTGTTTCATTCCATAAAGTGATTTGTTCAACTTTATACAATGTTTTTCTCGAGAAATTGCTTTGTCTTTCAGTTCAATACCCTCTGGTACTTTCATGTGTATCTCATTATCCAGTGGACCATATAAGTATGCAATTACTAACATCCATTAACCACATGTCTAATTTCTCTCTTATGGCCAGACTTATTAGAAATCTAAAAGTAGTAACATCCACCACAGGGGAGTATGTCTCCTCATAATCTATACCTAGTCTATGTGAGAATCCTTGTGCTACCAGTCGTGCCTTATATCTCACGAATTCAACATGTTCATTTCTTTTCCTCATAAAGACCCATTTATGTCCAACTGGTTTAACATCAATAGGTGTCCGAATTATTGGACCAAAAACATCTCTTTTCTTTAGAGAGTTTAACTCCACGTTTATAGCTTCTTTCCATTTGATCCAATCTGATCGTTGAGTGCACTCATAAGGGTTCATGATCCTCGTTCATGTCCATAATTTCAAGTGCTACGTTGCATGCAAATATATCATCAATGTCGACATTTTTTCTATTCCATAGTGTTCCAGACATGACATAATTGATTGAGATCTCATTATTATCAGGACCGTCAGTACCTTGAAGCTTGGCGTCTCAAGCCCCATTGTTTCTCACTTCAGGTTCAGCCGGCACACTAGGCTCGACTGGTTCGGCCGGCTCGGTCGGCTTGTCCATGTCTAGGGTTCCCTCGACCATAGATTCATTAGCACATTTCTTTAGTTTATGAGGGTTCTTACTTTGGAACCTATTGGTCTACCACGTTTCAAACGTGCTTTAGACTCTGTAGCAACTTGACCGTGTCGTTCTTGGACATCAATACGAATTGGTGCACTCACAGCTGGTATATATGACTTTGTTACTCTATTCGGGTCAGCAAAAGACAATCCGCGTACCTGGACTTAAACAAATCACCCGTGGTTGGCTCAAGGTATTGAATTATGGCGGGAGATTCATATCCAACATATATCCCCATCCTCCTTTGAGGTCCCATATTAGTTATCTGTGGTGGTGCAATTGGTACATAGGCGGCACATCCAAATGTCTTGAGATGAGATATGTCTGGCTCGTGACCCGTTAGCAATTGGGATGGGAAATATCTATGCTCACTAGATGGCATGATGCGTAATAGTTTAGCTGCATGCAAAACGGCATGTCCCCAAGATGAGACTGGGAGTTTTGATCTCATTAGTAATGGTCTAGCTATTAGTTGATGCGTTTAATGAAGGATTCAGCCAAGCCGTTTTGTGTATGTACATGTGCCACAGAATGTTCTACACTTACCCTCAAGGACATACAATAATCATTAAACGCATGGGACGTGAATTCACCAGCATTATCAAGACGTATAGTCTTTAAAGGAAAATCTTGCAAGTGAGCTCTTAAACGAATCATCTGAGCAAGTAACCTCACAAACGCCAAGTTGGGGGTTGATAATATACATACATGGGACCATCTCGTGGACGCATCAATAAGGACCATAAAATATCTGGACGTCCTACAAAGTGGGTGTATTGGTCCACAGATCTCACCTTGTATTCTTTCCAGAAAGTTTATTGTTTCCTTAGTCAGTTTAACTGGTGATGGCCTAACAATGAGTTTCCCTTGTGAACATGCTACACACGTGAGGTTATTAGGGATAACTCTTTTTCTTTCAATGTGTGCCCATTTGTATTTAATATCAATTTTCGCATCATGGTCGAACCGGGATGGCCGAGCCGGTCGTGCCAAAGAGTGAAGTTCTTGGTAAACACTTTGTTTACCGTGGAATTAGCCTCTATCATACTGATCCTGGCATAGTAAAGACCAGTAGAGATTTCAGGTATAGTCTCTAAGACTTTCTTATGGCCTTGGACGATTTCAAGAATCTGGAGGAACTCTTTGGTTCCTTCGTCCTTAGTTTCAATATGAAAACCATTCATTCATTTAATCAAGTTTCAAGTAGACAAAGAAATGAAAAAAAATTCAAAAAATAATAAAAACAATGAAAACATAAAGCAAAGAAAACACAAAAGTTTATGGTCGAAATCAACTTGATACTTTTAAGCAATCTGAAGGATCATCTCGTCCATGATCAAAATCATCTTCACCATCTTGATAGATCAAGTGGACCTCATGGTTCTTCCCTTTTAAATTCTCTTGATAGAGTTCAACTAAATGTTTGGGAGTTCTACATGTGTTAGCCCAATGGTTACTCATTCCACACCTATGGCATACTGATTTGGTCAAGTGTTGTGGTTTAAAAGAAATACCACGGTCTTGGCCTCGACTACGGTTAAAATTGGGTTGGTACCCTCGGCCTCGGTTCCCATAATGGTTCCCTCGGCCGTTGTAGTTACCTCGACCACGTCCTTGCCATTTTCCACGGCCACGACCATGTTGGCTGTTGTTCTGGACGTGGTTAGCCTCTTTCTTTTCCTCTACGGCCTTATTTTCCTCAGGTAGTGCGATTGATTCAGGAGGTCTGAATTCACTGTTTCTCATAAGCAATTCGTTGTTTTTCTCAGCTAGCAATAGACACGAGATCAGATTTTCATAAGTTGTGAAACCCTTTTCACGGTACTGTTGTTGTAACAACATATTGCTTGTGTGGAAGGTGGAGAATGTCTTTTCTAAGATATCCTTATCCGTTATATCTTCACCACACAGTTGCAATTTAGAAACAATCTTAAATAGGGCTGAGTTATACTCATCCACGGACTTGTAGTCCTGAATTCAGAGATTCCTCCAATCATACATAGTTTGCTAATATCACCGTTCTTTTGGTGATCATATCTTGTTTTGAATTCAGTACAAAGGTCTAGAGGATTCTCAACTGTTAAATACTGATCTTTGAGACTCTCAGTGAGATGATGGCGAATAATC